AAAAAAAAAAAAAAAGCACTATTCTGCAACTTCAATTTTAAAATGCCAAACTACTGGTCAGTGTTGTGATATTTACAGAACACAAGAAAGGATTTGGGAATTTAGGACTTTAGCCTGGTGGCTAGCTGCGGTGGCTCACGCCTATAATTCCAGCACTTTGGGAGGCAGAGGTTGGGTGGATCACCTGCGGTCAGGAGTTCGAGACCAGCCTGGCCAACACGGTGAAACCCCATCTCTACTAAAAATACAAAAATTAGCTGGGTGTTGTGGCACACGCCTGTAATCTCAGCCACTCTCAAAAAAATGAATTACCCGGTCAAATGTTCAAAACAGATACCAGTGACTAGTGACAGTAAAAACTACCACCACCAAAATGTTCACCATAACTTACACAACTTTTAGAGTTCTTTCACATATAATTTTCTCATCCATAAAATTGGAATTGCTGTGAGAATTGAACAATATTTGTGAAAATGCTTTGCAGTTACACATTACATCATCTGATTGATCTACAGTTAACTACACTAGCCCATATCTTTCCAAACCAATAGGTTCTACAGAAAAACAAGATTATTTATAGAGTCAGCCTTGGGGCTTGAATTGCTCCTGGGCCCTGCACTTCAGGGAGAAGTTGAAGCAAGGCAAAGTGAAACCTCTCAGTCCAAGCCCAGTAACATCTCAAGGTGATTAAATATATTATTCCACTTTAGACCCACAATGCTTGGCACTCTCCGTTTACTTGGTTTCAGTTACACTTTATATTCCCTTCTTACCTCTATCTTCTTACCTCTACCACATATCTTCTTCAATGTTCCTCTCCTTCCTCCTCCAGTGGATGCTCCTTGAGTATCTGTTCTCTATGTTCACTTTTATTACTATTTTCATGGCTCAACACGTACTTCCAGACTCCCTTCCTCACCTACATTCCAATTCTAAGAATCTAAGGACCAGCTCCATATCTCAACACATCCAAACCAAAGTTATCTTCATCTCAATACCAGACCACTATTCGTTTTTGTTTTATTTTGTTTTCAGAGACAGGTCTTACTCCATCTCCCAGGCTGGAGTGCAGTGGCTCAATCATGGTTCACTGTAGCCTCAACCTCCCTGGCTCAAGTGATCCTCCCACCTCAGCTTCCTGAGTAGCTGAGTCTACAGGCACACGCTACAACGGCGGCTAATTTTTTTTTTCTTTCTTGAGACAGAGTTTCGCTTTTGTTGCCCAGACTGGAGTGCAATGGTGTGATCATGGCTCTCTGCAACCTCTGCCTCCTGGATTCAAGCGATTCTCCTGTCTTAGCATCCCGAGTAGATGGGATTAACAGGCGCCTGCCACCATGCCTGGCTAATTTTTTTTTTTTT